AAACCCTAACAGCAACATAGATCAATAAAAATTTTAAGCTAAATAAGGCTGTTTTAGCTATTACTTTTTTTTCGATATCCTCATACAGCTGATGCGATCATGAAATGTATTGAGGAGGTTCTTGAACATTGGGATATAAAAAACAAAGTTTTCTCAATTATATCTGATAGCAGGGCAAACATGAAGTCTGCATGTAATAAACTTGGTGTAAAATGGATTCTGTGTTCTGCTCATATACTGAATTTGATTGTACAAAAAGGGCTCTTGTCTGCTAAGCATCTAATTACTCAGATAAACTATCTAATTACATTTTTTACTGCACCTAAACAAAGTAAATGTCTCGAAGTGGTACAAGCATCGATTCAAAAGCAACAAAAATCAGACCAAGAAAAGGTAATTTAAAGTAAATTTAACATAAGTAGTCTAATCACATTAAACTACTATAAACGATGTTTTTTTTTTAAAAAAAAAAAAAATTAATTTTTGCAGTAAAGATTTGATAATAATATATATAAATTCTCTAGATATCGCTATAGTGAAACTTGCTTTTAAATAAAACTTTTATATTTTAATTTAATAGTCAATACTATTACAATTAAACTACTCGCTTTATAATGTATTATAATTCTATATTAATGATAAACTTAATTTATATGCAGAATAAAGAGAATATCTTTTTGCGAGCTCAAAGCGATATTGTAACCAGATGGAACTCCACCTACAATACATGGGTTCGTATGCTTGAGCTCAAACCCTATATTGAAATACTCGCAAGTTCTCTTACTGTTCAGTCAGAGAGGGATGCAATCAAAGATGGAAAACAGCTAAAATCAATTATGATTATAGAGAATGAGTGGACTGTGGTCGCTAGTATTATTAAGGTTTTAAAACCATTTAACAACATAACAAACTATATTTCAGATAGTTCATACTTAACAATGAGCATTATTTACCCGACTATAAGTACTCTTCGTAATGCTTTATCAAAAGAATATATAAATGAAGATCTTAGTATTTATAATATGGATGAAGTAGATCTTGATACAACAGATAATATTAGTGTGTTTGACCTTGAGGAGGTATCAAATAAAGATGAAGAATTAGAACAAATAAAATTACCAGCTGCAACTGTCTATTTGATTGAATGTATTAAAAACATAATGTTCGAATTATTTAAAAGGTATTATAAGGTAAATTTTTTTTAACATACTGTATTTATTAAAAAGTGTCCTTGGGGTATATATAGTGATAGCAAAATAATATGACATCAAATTGCTATCATTGATCAACATAGTTGATGTGCATAATTTTTTTAGACCTAAAAATTTTTTGAAATTCAAATAACGCTGCAGAACCTTTTTTTTTAAAAAAAAAAAATAATGAAAAAAATGGTTCTGTGATATATATTTATCTACATAATAGTAAGAATCGAAGTTTGCATATTGTTCTATTTGGATTTCAGAAATTTACACCCAGGGCAAATATTTATTTATTTATTTATTTTATTGGTTATATGAATTATAATTAGTTTGATGATGATAAAATATTATTTATCACAACGGCAATTGATCCAAAATGCAAAAACTTTGAGTATGAGGGTGCTATATTAATGTGTCAAGATTATCTTAGATTAGAATACGATCAAATTATTGATAAAGGTCTTAAATCATCATCAAATAATGCAACACTCGATTTATCTGGATCATTCATATTAATGGTTTTTACAGCAGCAGTTCAACAAAATACAATACACAAAAATGAGGTTGATCAATATCTCATGTTGGAAACAATTGGACCTTTAGACAATCCCTTACAGTGGTGGGCAGATCATAAAAATTCGCTTCCGAAAACAGCAAATATTGCACGAAAATTTCTTGCGATTCCATCAACTTCAGTTTCTTGCGAACGTCTTTTTTCTCAATGTGGAAATGTAATGACTAAAAAAAGAACTCAATTATTACCACAAACATTCAGTAAATTGGTTTTTTGTCATACAAACCAAGAACGATACGATACAATGTTTTCAAATATTAATTAAAGAATGGGTTACTGACGGGCTGTATAGAATTTTTGAGACTACACAATATAGTATAATTCTGGTTAGTTGTATAACGATAATGCTAGCTTGTTGTTTTATAGTTAGCAAAATGATTTTTTTGAGTCAATAAATAAAATAATTACTTAGTTCAGAATCATTTGCCTGCGGGTTCCAAAGAATAAGAACAAAGTAATACAATGCTACATATTGCAACTATTATGCGGCCTATTTAATAATGAAAATTAATACGTAGTTAAATGCTGATTAGGAATAATACTTTTGCAAATTACATAACTATGCCGTTATATTATTATCAGTATTGTTAAAAATTATGGTCAACTATAAATTTACTGGTCATTGGTTAAATGATTATTGGTCTGGTCGGTCTGGTTAAATTGGTCAGATGACCTGTTACACAGACCAATTTGACCAATTTGACCAATTTGGCCATGGTCAAATTGGTCAAACTTGCCAAATTTATCAATTATACAAACCAGTTTGACTAATTTGACCAATTTGACCGTGGTCAAATTGGTCAAATCAGTCAAACCGGTTAAATTTAACAAACTATATTTATAGAACTAAAACAAGATTTATTAATTAACTTTTTTAAAAAAATCATATAATTTCAAATTAGGAATCATTTG